TATATATAATGGAATATTACTCAGCAATAAAAGAGAATAAAATCATGGCATTTTCAGGTAAATGGATGGAGTTTGAGAATATAATGCTAAGTGAAGTTAGCCAATCCCAAAAAACCAAATGATGAATGTTTTCTCTGATGTAAGGAGGCTGATTCATACTGGGGTAGGGAAGGGGAACAAGAGAGAATTAGATGAACTCTAGATAGGACAAAGGGGTTGGAGGGGAAAGGAGGGGACATGGGGTTAGAAATGATGATGGAATGAGATGGACATCATTATCCAAAATACATGTATGAAGACACAAATGGTGTGAATTTACTTTGTGTACAACCAGAGATACGAAAAATTGTGTTCTATATGTGTAGTATGAATTGTAATGCATTCTCTGTCATATATAATAAATTAGAATTAAAGAAAATTAAAAGGAAAAAGAAAAAAAGAAATATAACTTGGTTTCTGGAATTGTGCAGTTCAGTCCTTAGAAAGTAATAAAAAAAAATTAAAAGGAAAAAAGAAAAAAAATAAATATAACTTGGTCTCTGGAATTGTGCAGTTCAGTCCTTGGCAAGTAATAACCGTGCAATGAGAACTAGCTTAAGCACAATGGGAAGGGTTGCCAGCTCATTGTAACTGAACTATGGAATGGATGAGGGAGGAGCTGGCCTCAGGGGCCCCTGGACCTGTCCCTGAACATTGCTGGGGACCTTGTGTTTGATCTCAGAATGGCCTTGTTCATACACTGGGACTTAGGCTGTTTAGTTTCCTATATTACCTCATACCCCATGTGCCATTTGACTAGAAAAGGGACTCCTTTAATTTCCAGCTTAAAAAATAAATGCCACCAAAGGATGCTGAGTGTTATGACTTGGACTAAATGCAACTTCCTGAGTACAGAGGCGGGTACTCATCCTTCAACCCAGCCCTGAGTTGACCACCTGTTAAAGCAGATGGCCAGGATGGTTCCCTGGGGAAGGCAAGGGAAGGGCAGAATGTGGACTGGCAAACAGATGACCGTGTGCTCTGCAGGTTGACCTCTTGGTTTGATGAACTGAGCAAAACCTATTATGAAATAGACCCACATGATGCTGTGTTATGCCATTTCCTCCCCTCTGCTTAACAATAGAAACAATCTGAAATACAGAGGCTATTTTTCTTTGTGAACACCTATGAGCAGTGTGGTTCTTAATCTCACTAAGAATACGTACACAGTATGCACACACATCATGTATGAAATTAAATACAATATATAATTGTAGATATGAAAACCATGTATAGAAGTCTCATATATGCATTACAAATATATATTATATATGTATATGAATCTACATACTAATATATATATGCATCACTGTCCAGGTTTGAAGGGAACTCCTTCTCCTTAGCAACTGTGAGTGACTCGCTGATAAGCAAACACAAAGGGATCTTAAGAAACTAGCTAGGGGTACAAGATGAGAGTTGAGAAGGAATTGCAGACAGGGAGACAAGAAGTGATATACCAAATATCAGAGAAATATTTTCAATACATGTATGAATTCAAATTTAAGTCACTAGTAAGTGATCTGAGGAGTACCTAGTAGGATGTGGACCTTCCAGGGTTTGGTAGATCTCTGTTTTAAATACTGCTGAAAAGGTGATTGTGCACGTAAAGAAGGTATACCAATCAAACTATAAAAATATTAAAGGCAGCATTGGCCGAATATCACAAAGTCATGGGCACAGGTGTTGAGTATAGAGCTTGCTTGACTGTTAGCTACCAGAGAATGGCAGGTAATTCATAAGTTGGGCATGGAGAACTCATGAGTCACACACTACTGCTTGCTTACCTACCTCTGGCAAAGGGTGACCTCCCTGAGAAACAACTATATATGCATTCAGATATTCTAGAGAACAGTGTGACTTCCACCGAAATACCTTGAAATCCTGGGCTGGAAAAGTGAGATCATACCTCTGATCTGTAGGAAGCAATACCTCTTGGATGATCTAGGAAGATTAGAGCTCTAATGTTCATTTGCCTGTGATGCATAGTCCTTTGTCTTCTTTGAAATAATGGCTTTTTTTTTTTTTTTGCAGAAATACCCATTGGGATCTGGAAACTTTACTACATACCACTGAAAATGGTCAACAAATTTAGAGTGGTGTTTGAAGGACTCAGGGGCTCTGGTGCATCATCAGGTGGTCTGTCTATTGATGACATCAATCTTTCGGAAACACAGTGCCCTGAACATGTGTGGCACATAAGGAATTTCGAAGAGACCATTGACAAAGAAAATGGAATTCTATTAAGCCCTCCATTTTATTCTCCTAAAGGTTATGCTTTTCAGATTCAATTCAGTCTAAAACCTTCGACAGATGCACAGATATATCTCCACTTGGTCTCTGGAGGCAATGATGATTATTTAAAGTGGCCATGTCCTTGGCAACAAATCACGATGACACTCTTGGATCAAAATTCTGACATTCGACGGCGTATGTCCAACCAGCTGAGTGTAACTACAGACCCATTTCTGCTTGGTTCGTGGCTCATTTTATTTATTACTAATACACAATTATTGCTCCAGGAGGGACAGATGATTTGGGAATGACAAATTGGATTGCACAATTGGTTACTTTTGGAATTTGAGCTCCAAATCTTAAGAATAGGGGATGCTTACAGGCAAGTCTTTATTGAGGACAGAGTCTCTGAAGCAGGAGACTACTAAGAATATCAGCAAGGACTTTGACAAACAGGGAAGATATTAGCTGGGTCCCTGGGAATTGATGATCATCCTTGACTTGTTGTTCAAGCAATGTTGTTTTTAGTATGATGTGCCTGGGTTCAAATCCAAGGTTTGCTTTGCATTAGTTATGTGACTGTGAGCGAATAATGTTTTGGAGTCTCAGTGTCCTCAGCTGTGAAAGTAGGGCAGTAATTCTCCCATAAATTGTTATGAGGATAAATACAGATCAAGTACGGAAGGATGTTGGAACATCCTGGTACGCACAATTCTCAGATGTTGAGTTTCTCTAACCCATAATGCCTTGATCATGCCACTGGGGTTGTCAAAAACAGTTCAGCTCTTGGAATTTGGGTAGTTTTGATCAGGAGGAAGATCTTGGGGGTGGGGTGGGGGGAGGTTGTACTGGAATATTGGTAGGAAGGGTATGGAAAGAATTGTGATCTCTTATTGAAGAGTTCTGGAGGATTTGCTAATAGTGAAATCATTCTTCATTTTTTCCAGTCTCAAAAGGAAACAGGGCCCAGAAAGCCATGATCACTCTTCTAATTGTAATACTCTTTTGTTTCTGGAAACCTGACAAAGGAAAAAATAGAATTATGGCAAGCTAACTATTATTGCCAAATTTTGAATTTTATAAACATTTAGAATTTTTTTTCACTCTTTCCTTAAATTTTTCTCCCTGAATGACATTGAAAATGGCTCAGTTTTGCCAGGCGTGGGTGGCACACACCTGTAATCCTAGTGGCTGGGAGACTGAAGCAGGAGGATCGCCAGTTCAAAACCATCCTCAGCAAAAGCAAGGCGCTAAGCAACTCAGTGAGACCTTGTCTCTAAATAAAATACAAATAGGGCTAGGGATGTGGCTCAGTGATCCAGTGGCCCTGAGTTCAATCCCCAGTACCCTCCACATACCCCAAAAAGAAATGGCTCACTTTTGATGGATCCTCACCTTTTCCCAGGAGCAGTGCTTCTTGCTGTCTTGTATGTTGGAAGGACTTTGCTCTTTCAGGTGAATAATTTGATTAATGAGATAATTTATTCTATGCTAATATTGAAAACTCTCTCAGCAACCTATTGCTTTAACTCAATTTAAAAGGATGATCTGTAACTCAGAAGGCCACTGGGGCATGGTTCTAAGTGTCAGAAGGGTTTCTGTACCAGTTAGTAAGCAAAGGTGTGTTATCCTCATCTAGGGGACTTTGGGTCCTCTCCACTCTAAGCAGGGCCCTTCCTGCCAGACAATCTTATTTCCTTTAGGACAGTATAAATGAATAAGCTCCAGTGGCTTGCCAGGGAATATATCACAGGTCAACAGCATCATTGTATTATTTGGGGCCCATCCTAATTTGTGTTTCACATTGCCTGTTCTTTCCTACCACCAAAAGCCATGCTGATGCTAAATACAATCCATTAATATAAATTGCTTTTTCAGATGATACAAAGTATTTTTGGGACAGGCCTTCTAAAGTGGGAACACAGACCGTTTACCCTAATGGAACTGAGTATATGATGAACAAAGGCTATGGGAGCAGTGTCTTCATAAGCCATAGCAGGCTGCACAGCAGAGAGTTCATAAAAGGAAATGATGTTTATATCCTAATGACAACGAATGGTATGTCAGTAAAAGTAGTTTTATTTAAGTTAATTTTTTTGTGTGTGTTATGGCCATTGGCTATTTCTGATGTTCTTCTGGTTTCATTTTTAGGCATATTATAGGATGTAGGAGGAAATGGGTACAAATGAGGGTTTTTTTTGGGGGGGGTACAAATCATTAACAACATGAAAATTATTAAATTTGAAACAACAAAAGTTCTAGGGTATAGAATTTAATTACTATCACATGGAACAATAGTAGAAAGCTTTAGACTGGATGATTTTTTTAGAAATAAGTTAGGATACAGATAATATTCCCTAGGATTATACTCTATAATTTACAAAATAAAAATAGACAAGTACATGAAATTCATCTGTAAACAAACCAAGCTATTATCTGATACACACATGCACACGCATACATGAAAACATATGTACACACACATATCCTGGCAGTAATCATGTTAGTTAATTGTCTGTTAAATTTTTTTATCCATGGCAATCAATAAAAACATTTTCCAGCAATGCAGGTGGTTTCCATGTTTGATGTAGTACGATTTTAACTCATCTACTCTTAAAGATTCACTTGTGTCTCAGTAAATCAGACCGCATTGCAACGAGAGGTGGTACAAACTAGAACCATGAAATTCAAACCACCGTTTTTTACTAGAATAAATCTAGATTATATTTTTTGGAAAAAAAACTATTGAGAAAAAAAAACACTAATAAAGAGAAGACATTTTAGGGTACAGAGAAAAAGAAGTCCCATTACAGTGAGAGAACAAATTACAGTGTAAAGAACATGGCACAGGCTACCAGGGCACCGTACCTTGCTTGAAGTCTCTGCCTCTTACTCTACCAAGCAGGAGACCCTGACCTCGGGCGAGGTCCTTAACCACTTTCCATTTCTGAGCTTTGGTTTTCTCACCTGTCTTTAGTGGGTTGGTGACAAGGGTTTGAGTCCCTCAGAGCTCAGCTCCGAGAGCCCTGCCTCTGTTGATTCCTTATTTCACGGCCTCTGAATTTTGGTGGACCATGCATCAAATTATCTAAATTCCTCACAAGGCTGAAGCCTGAACATCTATTTTGAGACTTAAGGGCCAAATGATTACTCAGGCACATGCTGATCACCGTTTCTCTCTCCTGTTGCCCCTCTTAGACCGATCTGACCTCACTCAAACACCGGATCAGAGTAACCCAACCTCTGATCCCAATGACCTCTGCTCAGTAGTCGTATGTGAAAATGGTGGCATATGCTCCGTCCAGGATGGCAAGGCCGAGTGCTGGTAAGGGGGCACTTGGGAGAGAGCCCCATTCTTATTGTTAGAACGTAGGATTAAATGCTGATAGTTCATATGAATTAAATTTGTCAATTCTCCTCTCAAAACCACTCACAGAATATTCAGTGTTTTTGCATTCCATTTGGGACTTCAGATACCTATAAGGACAATAAAACTTTTAATGAAAAAAAAAAAAAACCCTACAAATTCTATTCCATGCTTTTATGATTATGTCAAAATGAATCCTATGAATATATATAACTAAAAAGAATCAAGAAAAATGTTTTTTTAAAAAAGAATGAATGCTTAGCATGCTCAAGGCTGTGGGTTCCAGCTCCAGTATCATGGGGAAAAAAAATTTAAAAATCTTTTAAAGTGAAAAAAATATGACACATTACATTCAAATTGCCTTAAAAAAAAAAAGAAAAAGAAAAGGACTCTTTACAAGTTACTTGTTAAGTCCTCGCTTGTCAACTCCTTTTGACAGTCTGGTCCTTTTAAGTATGTTTATCCCCATTTTCTAGATGAGGATACTAAAGTTCTGAGAAGACCTTGACCAAGGTGTAAAACTAGAAGTTGGAGAGGCAAACTTTCTTTATTGGTTGTGCTCCTTCCCTTTGCTACATCTCAGCTGCTGTTTTTCTATTGAATTAGGAATGATTCCGTTTTTCCTTTTCATTGTTCCTGTCTGGTCTCCTGGTGCGGGTCTAAGTCCAGAGTGGGTGAAGTAGCTCATATGTCAGTGACTTATTGGTGATCGAATAGACTAAAGGTGATCAACATATTTAATGGGGAGGATTTCCACAGTCAAATATCAATGCATAACTCCAAGTCATTTCACCATGTATAGGTGTCCTTCTGGGGAAGACTGGTGGTACATGGGAGAAAGGTGTGAGAAGAGAGGTTCAACCCGTGACACCATTGTCATTGCTGTTTCTTCCACCGCTGCTGTGTTTGTCCTGATGCTGATAGTTACCCTCATCAGTGTCTACTGTACCCGGAGGAGATATCGCCAAAGGCCAAATTCAAATATTGCGAATATCACTCTGGAAAATGTAAGTTGAGTTGGCTATTGAGTTATTCAAAATCTATTGATGAAATCATATGGAGAATTAGGACTTGTTTTTGGAGGAGAGGGTACCAGGGATTGAACTCAGGGGCACTCCACCACTGAGCCACATCCCCAGCCCTATTTTGTATTTTATTTAGAGACAGGGTCTCACTGAGTTGCTTAGCACCTTGCTTTTGCTGAGGCTGGCTTTGAACTTGAGATCTTCGAGCCTCAGCCTCCCAAGCCACTAGGATTATAAGCCTGTGTCACTGCATCCAGCTGAGAATTAGGGCATTTTTTTATGTACTTTTTTTTTTTAAACCTTCTTTTGGTTTCCTATACTGAGAACAATGGATTTGAGACTATAAATTCAGATTACTTTCAATATAAATCAACAGCTCTGATATCATGGCCCTTCTTCTTGGGATAGTTCATTATGCTCAAAATTAAATATGGTTATGCATTTATTTTCCTAGGGTGTGGGGGGTCTGTGACCCTCTGAAAGACACACTGATTTCTCCTGCATATTTCCACCTTTCTGGAAGAGGAGAAACAAGGCTTATAAGTGTTTTGATTCCAAAGTAGTGGGGGATAAATTAAGGCCTACAGGAAGGGTGCAGCTGTGTTTGGGGAAGCTTTTCCAATGAGACGATTCTAGCTAATGCTCTATAAGTAATCATGAAGACAAGATCTTCAAGCAGAGGGTTTGACATTTTTCCCCAGGAAAGCTCTAAAATTGGCAACAGGTTCTCAAAACTATTGTCTCAGGAGCATCCCTTGGGCAGCAGAACCTGAGATGGATGGTTGGGTGCAGGGGATTTATTGGGAACACTCCTGGGAACAGGTGTGATGATGTGAAGGCGGCTGGCACAACAGGGGTAAGCACGGGGTGTGATGTAGGCATGGCTGGGCTTTGACCCAGGCTCCAGGGAGCTCTGGAGCCGGGAGGGCTTCTTAGCCTAGGCCTGACTTGAGGCAAGGGGCCAGGACTTCGTACTTCACCACAGCAGCCATTGCACTGGGGCTGCCTCCAAGGTGGGGACATGAAATTGAGCAATACAGCAGCCTTGGGGGGGGGGCAATTTTTGCAGGAAAACTTTTGTTTGGAAGGGGCAGGCAAGAGCAATGTGCTCTAGCACCCAGTAGATACGCCGGCAGTAGAGCCACTGATAGCCACAGGCACTTGCATATTCTTACAGAAGAGCTTGAAGAAAACAGCATCAAATCTGAATATTACCTAAGAGGGAAGTTTTAAAATTCTTTCAATTCGATTGCACTCAAATTAGAGTCTCTGAAAATTGTAGTGAAACAAATGAAGAAAAACACTTCCTATTAGAATCTCCCTGAAAATAAAAATACTGTAATTAGCAAAGTGTATGTTTTCTTAAGAAAAACCAATTATTTGGACAGGTAGAGTACAGTGGTTCACGCCTGTAATTCTAGCAGCTCAGAAGGCTGAGGCAGGAGGATTACCAGTTCAAACCCAGCCTCAACAACCTAGTGAGGCCCTAAGCAATTTAGTGAGACCCTGTCTCAAAATAAAATATAAAAAAGGGTTGGGGATATGGCTCAGCCATTAAGCGCCCCTGGGTTCCATCCCCGGTACCAAAAAAAAAAAAAGTTATTGTACAACATGCTATATTTTAAGTTTAGGATTTTTTTTTAAGTGAAAAACCCTGTGTCAAGATGCTAATTTTGAGGGTTGGGGTTGGGGCTGGGGCTGTAGCTCAGAGGTAGAGCACCTGCCTTGCACATGTGAGACACTGGGTTTGATCCTCAGCACCACATAAAGATAAATAAATAAAGATATTGTGTCCATCTACAACTAAAAAAAAAAAAAGAAATGAAAAAGAAAGAAAGAGAGAAAGAAAAAAAAGATGCTAATTTTTATTTTGCAAAGTCAGTCCAAAGGTGGATGAAGATGTTGAACATTTTATTCTCATTTGCTATGGTCTTATTTCTTCAGTGTCAGGAAGATGTTTAAAGCTAAGCATAGAGCAATAGATCAGTTACTTCATAAACTTATTAGGAAAGTACTTAAAATGTATTCAGGTTGTTTTATTTCCAACAGCTATTTCCAGATTTTTTTTTTTTAATGACCTGAAATGAAAGGGACACAGGACGGGTAGGCTGGGCTGACCGAAGCTATGCTTGTAGACTGGTCCCCTGGACCAGTAGGGGTGAGTCAGGCTGTGTAGGGGAGGTAGGAGAGGGGCTAGACAGGAGCACCCATTGGTTAGGTAGATAAGACTGCAAAGTATTCCCCTAGATAGTGGCCAATGTAAAGTTATAAGGGCTCTGACTTAGCTAGTAAAAATTGGAAGGAATTAAATAAAAAATGATTTAACACAGAAAAAAAAGAGGAAAAAAGGAGGCTAAGTCAGTAAGAGGGGTGAAACTATCAGGGCATCAGGGACATGGTAGGTATAGTGACTGGAAACACACACATCCAACCACCATAACGTTATAACACAACTGCTTCGTCTCTGGATCGTTTAAACACATTCCCAAGGACAAGGAACCAAGTTGCCTTTCCCTTAGTCTCCCCATTTCTCCAGTTCATTCACTGGTGATGGAGTCTCCAGAACTATAAACTGTTTTAACTAGGTTGAATCACAATGACCCTTCTGAGGCCACTTGTGCACTTACCCTAATGTCTTAGCATCTGAATAATGAGAGCCAGAGAGGCGGACATCTTCCTGGAGACTCAAGTGGGAGCTGCTTGCTTAGCTGGGAGGGATGCCAGGAGACTGCTGATGGGGACTTCATTTAAAAATCAGACCGTTTCATTGTGATTCATTTAACTGACAGATTTTAAATTTAGAAATTAAGTCATCGATTCTTTTTTTTCCCCTTTTAGCAACACCATACTTTTTGAAGATCAATTCAACAATACAGCCAGCAGATGAAATTAAAAAGGATTCTTCATCATGGATTTCACCTAAGAGACATTATAACCTTTATATTCTTCTACAAATGGTTCTTCTCTGCAAATAGCTGAGTGTACTCCAAATCATTATTTAGGTAAAAGTTGAATTGGCAAAGTCAGTCTCTCTCTCTCTCTCTCTCTCTCTCTCTCTCTCTCTCTCTTTCTCTCTCTCTCTCTCTCATAGGAAGCCATTCCGACTCCTCTGAAAGTATAATATTATCAATAAAAGGAAAAGCAACAATTAGAGACAGCTTCCAAGTTACTGATCCTTCTATCTGGGGGTCGAGTGCAGTGGTCTCACAAAGGATTCTCCAGAAATCGGCAGGAATTTCCATGAGAATGATCCTCCATATGGAATCTCAGCAGTTTCAATGCTGTCTTGTCCCCTGATATATATGCCTGTCTCCAATACTGGTTAATTTCTTGTTTTCTTACATAATCCTTTGGGTACCTGCACTTGGCTGAGCACCTGTTTGAACAGACCGGTATAGTGAACAAGAAACTTTCAATTCTTCATGCGGCAGTTCTCAAAGTTTTGGGTGAAAGGACCATTTTCACTGAGGACCCCAAAGACATTTTGCTTGCCAGCTTTCCATTGACCAATATTTGCCTTACTAGAAATTCAAAGTGGGAAAATCTAAAACCATGTATTTATTAGTCATTAAAAAGAATAAGCCCATTACATGTTAACATAATTTTTTTTTCCTGAACAATGACTATATTTGACAAAATAAAAGAAAGTTTAGGGCTGGGATTCTAGCTCAGTGGTAGAGCGCTTGCTCTACCACTTGTGAGGGGCTGGGTTTGTTCCCTAGCACCACACAGAATTAAATAATAATAATAATATCATGTCCATTACAACTAAATAAATATTTTAAAAAATAAAAGACAGTTTAGCAAAAATATGGGTGTTGGTTTACATTCTTTATTTGCAAATATCTAATGTCTAGTTTAACTGATTTCTCATGCTTCTGTACCTAATCTGTTGTGATGTATTATGTTGGTTGAAGGATAGGAAGAAATCTAAATTTGCAAAGATAAGTAGTTGGAAGAAGAAAGTATATCTGGGTAGCATTTCAGGTAAAAACAGATATTGTTTTTAATACTTTGTTGATAGCTGACAATGGTAATTTTTTTTTTGTACTGGGAACTAAACTCAGGGGCACCCACCACTGAGCCACATCCCCAGCCCTATTTTGTATTTTATTTACAGACAGGGTCTCACTGAGTTGCTTAGCGCCTAAATTGCTGAGGCTGGCTCTGAACTCTCAGTCCTCCTGTCTCAGCCTCCAAAGTGCTGGGATTATAGGTGTATGCCACTGTGCCCGGTTTAGAAATTGTAATTTCTTAAAAATGATAATTTCTCAAAAGTTAGTTGCAGTTGTAATCTATGGTCAAATGGATATACTTTTGTATGCCACCCAGTACAATCTACTGGCTTATCTTGCATTTTTCAATGAGTTTTCAATTTTGCATCATTTTTTTAGTATTCTAGATTGATCATTTAGAAAATATTGGTTCATGGAGTTATGCAGCTCTTACAATTACTGATATATTTCATTTTACAGTATCAAAACATTAGGACAAACTTTGGCTAGGGCAAACGGGAGGGATTAGAAGGAAGGGGGTATAGGGATAGGAAAGAAGGTGGAATGAGATGGACATCATTACCCTAGGTACATGTATGAAGACATGGATGGTGTGACTCTACTTTGTGTACAACCAGAGAAATGAAAAATTGTGCTCCATTTGTGTACTATGAACTGAAATGCATTCTGTTGTCATGTGTAACAAATCAGAACAAATTAATTAATTAATTAATTTTAAAAAAAAACCATTAGCACAGCCAGGCGTGGTTGTGCATGCCTAGTGGATAATAGGGGATCATCAGCTTGGGAGGCTGGGGCAGGCGGATTTCAAGTTCAAGACCAGACTCAACAATTGAGCAAATTAGTGAGACTCTGTCTCAAAGAATAAAAAGGGCTGGGAATGTAACTCAGTGGTAAAGCACACCTGGGTTCAATGCCCAGTACCGGAAAAACAACAATAACAACAAATTAGCACACCTGCAATCTCAGCTATTC